TGCTTACTAAGCCACTTCCGAATGCCAAGTTTCAGCATTGTTTGGGCTTGGTTGGTCTCTACAACAAATGATTGCCCCTCTGGGGCTTTATCTGGCGATGAGCAACTTATTAAATTTGAGCCAAGGTGGAGATTGTAAAGTTATGGCACAAATTTCTTCCATATTTCCTGTTTTAAGGAAAACACGTTTCCTTGATTTTAGGCCATGATTCCATGCATGGTTTCCTCTTTTTCGCTCCTTGTTTTGTTCCAGGTTTCCTTATTCTGGGTGCATACGCTTCTTCTCAATGCCTATATAAGGCATCAAGCATTTGGAGCAAATTGCAATTGATTCAGCAATCTACACACTTGAGAAAAATCATACATAGAGAGGAAAGATTCAAGAGAGTATTTTTAGTCTATATTTGAGAGATTATCTCTTTGTTCTCATGATATTAGAGAACTTTTTGTACTCTCCTATTTCTACATAGTGGAATTATCTTGCTCTTGATCGCCCGTGGTTTTTTCTCCGTCTTTGGAGTTTCCACGTAAACTTGGTGTGTATTTATATTTCTTGTCTCTCTACTTACTTCTCTCTATCTCTAATTAACTTGATCCGGTGCTTCCGCATTCCGCTCATTCTTTCTGATACCCAACAAATTCAAAATTATTTTAATAATTAAATACTGTTAACTCATAAAATAATTAGGAAAGATCCAACAATCAAACAAATTATGGGAAATTGCTTTGGTTTTTCTGCTGTTTGGTCGAGTTGCTTACATGAGTATCAAAATGTTCAAGTTCAGGTGGATTTGGAACAGGTAATACCCTAATATCAAGGTTAGAACTTTTAGCTTTGGAAATAAACGCGAGGCAGATAATGTGTGCATCATGAGTAGATGTTGAAGCCATATATATCATGCATGTTTAATTTCTGTTTGTGGTGTGCCCAACTTTTGTCTTTTCATCATTGCGTGAAATTTGATCGTTGATGGATAAAAGTATTGCTTGTACTCCACGTAATAAAATTTGGCTAGCTTTGC